ACTATTATGGTTTGTCAGCTTTCTGGGTTATTGAGTCCAGGCGGAAGGGGTCTGCTGCGCACTTGCATGTGAGAGTGAGTGTGTGGTGCCCTTGGTTGCCCATCCCCGCCCTTCACCACAGCGGGCACCTTGCTCTGACTTTGGGCTTTTTTTCTCGCCTCAGGCCCTCCACTTACCCGCCACTTTACTCTCTGCAGAAGGTTCTAGCATCCCATTGTCAGGAGTGGGGTCCTGGTCCACTGTTCCCACACACCCATCAGACCCCCTTCCAGGCTCCGAGGGGGCTAGGGAGGACCGAAGCGAGCCGGGCCCCATTTCCCAGCAGCTGGAACCCCACCCCAGCCCTGGGACACTCTGTGCACAGTGCAAACCCTCCCTGTGCCAGACAAGACGTCCTGGGGAAAGCTGTAGGCTGGGAGTCCAGGAACTTCCTTCAGCACCTTGCTCAGTGCCCAGATGCCCTGTGACAGGACTGACCTTGGAGCCATCCTTTCCTCACCTGTGAGATGACTGGGGTGGGCTCTGCTGGGTCCCTCCAGCTCTGATACTCCAGCCCTGGGGTGTCTCTTTTCTGAGCGATTTGCATATGCTTTGCATGTATCCAGGGTGCTTGCTTGGAGGGGGAGGGTGCCCTGAGACAGATAAGGTGTCCCCCCCCCTCTGCATTCCACACCCCTTGTAGACTGGCCCTCACATCTCTGCTCTGCAGCATTCCCAAGGAGGTGGGGGATCTGGTCCCCTAAGTTCCAGCCAGACTGCTGGCAGGACCCTGGGGCCCTGGTGGGGGGACTGCCTGTCCCCACCACTTCTGCCTCAAAAAGCCCAGTGGAAAACCAACAACCCCAAACAGAAATAATTCCTGTCAAGTCCTTAACAACCCATCAACACAACTCCCTGCCATCTGGTTGGCTCCTCCCCTAGGGACACAGTGGGACAGGTAGGATGCCCGTGTGGGTTTCTGAGACTGTCACTCCACTGGAGTGGAAGGCCCTCTCTTCTCGTAACCACTCATGGCCACCGCCATGTATGTCCGTGCTCCGCAGGGTTTCCAATGGCCGTGACCTTTCAGAAGTAGGTCACCAGGCCTTTTTTTGGAGGTGCATTGGGGCGGACTCAGACCACCCACCTGTTGGTAACTTAGTGCTTAACGGTTGGTACCACCCAGGGACTTCTCAAGTCGAGAAGTGGTGTTGGGTTCACCTGTCACCCGAGGCTGTAATGGGGCATGAGGAACCTTACTGAGGCCTGACCCTCTGGCTTTGAGGCCTCCCTAACCCATCCCCTGGCCCTGACCACCATCAGAAGCCAGGAACTTAGCTTGGGTCATCCCTTACCCGGATCCCAGGGCAGGTTCTGCTGTCTGATACCCACTCTGCCCAGGCACCCAGGGGTGTGTGGGGCAGGGGGTGGGGTAGGGTACAAGTTGGGCCTTGGAGACAGTGAGAGAGGAGTAGGTCTTTACCCCTCTGGGCCCTGGCTGGGCACCTTGTGCAGGGACATCATGGAATGGTGAGAACCTGTGGAATGGGTGGCTTTGCAGACGGACCAGCATACCCTTCAGCATCTGGGAGGGGAGGACTGGGCCAGAGGCAATGGAGCCGGAGGGCTCAAGGGTAGACTTAGAATGGACTGTCTCCAGGAGCTGATTCGATTCAGACCATGGACCTAACCTTGTCCCCACTCAACAAATGACACAAGTGTCTCTGAAGCCAGAGGGGGCCTCCCTGGGCCCCAGTCTCATGGTTTTCATGGGGATGAGGAATTAGAGGGACAATTCCCAGGAGAGCCATTTCTCCCACCTTCACCACCCCTACCCCACACTGGCACCAGGCTCAGGGCCCAGCCATCCTGAGACACCCTGCCCTTGTCCTCTCTGCTGGCTGTGGGGGTGGGCAAACAGAGGGTTTGGAGGCCGGGAAACCTGCTCTTCCCCCTCCCCCCTTGCTGGCTCTGCATAGGACAGCTTGAGAGGAAACCAGCCCACGCTGCAGGAGGAGGGACTGAAGCTAGCTCCAGGGAGGAGAAGCTTCCCAGAGAGTGAAGGGTGGCCCACCCTGGCTGGGGAGCTCCTGCAGTGCCTTTGCATTTGATACCTCAGTGATGGGGATTAGAGTTGTCAGGTGGGCAGGCAGGGGACTGTCTGAGTGACCTGTGACATGACCTCTGGGCTATCCCAAGGAGCTTGGCGGATCTAGTTTAACCTCTTCTGATGGTTGGGGGCCATGATGGGGAGGAGTCCAGGGCTGCCAACCTGACCCAACTGCAGAGAAGGGGAGAGAGCAGGCCCTGAATCCACCAAGGCTGAGGCAAGTGTCCTGAGAGAGCGCTGGGTTGGTGTCTGGACCCTGTCTCCCCATTGCTGTGTGACCTTGAGCCCTGAGTTGCCACCTCTGGTCTTCAGTGTCCTTGGTGTGAGAAGAGAGGGTGGAACTAGGATTTCTAAGGCCTCTTCCAGCTGTCACGGGTTTTCTTCACCTCCTTCCCTCCCTGAGATAATGTGCGCTTGCCATATGGAAGGTGAGAAGAATATCTCCCAGTTCTAAGCTACACCAGAAAAGATGGCGCTTCGGCCCAAGAGAATATTGGTACTCCTACATTTCACCTTACAAACTGCCCCTCCTGCTCCGAAGGTACACCTTGCCTAAATCCCTCCCACCCGGGGGTGGAGAATGGGGGGACCGGTAAGGGAGTGGCTGGAGGATTCAACTGTCCTCTGAATCATAAGCTCATTGCTTTCCTCTCTTCCCAGCAGAACTGGCTTCGCATATGCTCCATTCCAGACAGGGGTGGTGGTGTAATCCAGTCCATGTTTTCCTCTACCAAGGCTCTACAGGCTGGTGCCTCAGATTGGGGGGGGGGGGCCCAACACCTCCTAATCTTTTCCTGGCTGGGCAGCCACAGCCACCTGGTCTGGTTGCCTGCATATACAGGCACGGAGTACCTAAGCTGAAAGGAGTTGGGTTTTCATCTGCTTACCATTCTCACCTCTACCAACATCCTCTTCCCTTCTTACTGACTTCCTTTTCTGGCCCCTGGCCTCCTCCCCCTCCTTTCCCCTTCCCCGCCACAGAGCGCACTGGAGACCCTGGGCCCAGAGACGCCTGCAGAGGCCCTAGCATAGAAGGAAGAGAGGGCTGCCCTTTGGGAAGGGTGTGTGATCATTGCAGGCTGAGCCCCAACATTTGGCTTGCTGGAGAGAATGAACGATCCAGCTTCTTTGGGAAGGCATTGCATGGCTGACCAAAGCCGCTCCACCTGCTCCCGGCCCTGCCCTATGCCTGGACAGGGCCCTCGATCCTGCCCCCAGCACCCTTCTAAGTTGACAATTAGGGCGATGTAGGGGTTCTAGTTAGTAAAGTAAGAAGGGACTTCTTCCAGGATGGAGGTGCAGTGGAGGAGAGGGGCTCCTAGAGACCCAGAGGCAGCTAAGAAAAGCTAGACCGTCCCCCTCCTGGATTTAACACCTGATCCCTGATCCATCTGGAACTGCGAATGAACAGAACAAGATGAAGGAGAAACCCACCTTGTGTCTTTAGGAAATGCTAACGGAGCGCGGGGTGGAAAGACTGCATTCTGGGCAGACTGTGGCGAGGGCACTGAATGGGAAGCATCCAAAGACTGAGGACAGTGCATGGGAGGTAGTTTGGCCTGTGGGTTAGGGCTCAGCCGCTGCTCCCCCATCCCTGTGTCCCTATCTGTCCTTCTGTGTTTGCCTCTGAAGCCGTGTCCTCACCTGTGTATTGAGGATGAGAGCTCTGGCCTGCTCACAGGCATCCCAGGAGGAAATGGGGGCGATTCAGGCATAGTCCCTGGCTCAGCATGCAGCCTTCCATAAACAGTGATCCGGCATCATCATCACACTGGTACTCCCCATTGTTCAGCCAAGGAGGTTGGAGGCAGGGTCACCACGCAGGAAGAGCACCTGCTGGACTTTCCTAACACCCCCCTAATCTCCCACACCTGAATCCTCTCTGCAGCCTGTCTGCGCTGGCTCCCCAGAGCTGCCGCTTTGGGAGGGTGGTAAGGAAGCCTCCTCCAGCACCATGCGTCTGCCGTCAACCACACCCATCCACCTGCCCTCCCTTACTCTGCCCCTTCTCACTCGCTCCTTCTTCCAGAAGCCCTCTGGGGCTGGCTACCTTTATGAGCATTCCCGGATTCTTTCCCCCTAGACAATGCCCCAACATCTGCATGTGACAGCTGCTTCTCCCTGGGACGTCCATGTATTGGGTAATGGGTGGGAAAATTGGAACCATGAGATTGGCAGGGGGCTTTGAGAATGCTTGCAGGGAGACGTGATGTGGGTATGGATGGGCCTGAGCCCAAAAAGGGAGGGCTGTACTGGGGAGGTGGGGCTGGGGAGGGCCCCCCAGTCCCTCCACCCCCCCACGCCACAGTGTCTCTGCAGGCAGGAAGGGTCTGGAGAGGTGGCAAAGAGGCATTGCAACAGGAAGGGGCAAGGGTAGATCTAGTAAGGACCTTGTGGCTGGATGAGAGGGGCCAGCCGTGGTGGGAAGTAGAGGGGGCTTCTGCCCTGGGAGGGCTGGGCTGGCTCGAAGGAGGCAGGATAGAGTTGGGCAGTATCTGTGACTTGTGGGCAAGAGGGCTGGTTTCCTGCCCTTCTCAACTGAGTGTGAATGCTTGCTGGGTGTGAAATGCCTTTGCTTCACACGTGTTAGGAGAGGGGTCTTCCTCAGGGCTGGGTGGTGGGGCGCAGGGCAGGGATGGAGCAGATGGGGGTCCCCTGGACTGGAGAGAGGGTTGTTGATAGAGCCAGAAAGGCACGCCCCTCTGACTCAAAAGCCACCCACCTTCCAGAATGGGTGGCCCTGGGCTGGGGGAAGCCAATGCGCTCTCCAGGAGCCCGTTTGGGACTTGGCATGAGCACCCAGGTGAAGAGTCTGCCTGGCTTCCGGGGAGAGAACCAGGCCTGTCTGTCTTGAGGGCCCCATTCTGGGAGCCCTGTATTCCCTGTGCTGTTCTGGTGTCTGTCCACCTGTCTGTCTCCCACCAGTGTCTCTAGCTCCTGAGCCCCTCCTCCTCCTCTGACACCCAATCTCTATCCTGCCTGCCCCCCTCCCTAGACCCCAGTGACCCCAAAGGTATAGCCCCTAAGGCTCTGCCCTGCTCCCCACCCTCCCCCAGGGCCCAGGGTCTGAGCCCCAGCAGCTTCCACTTTGGGAGTCTCTGTCCCGCTCCCTCCCCTCCACCCTGGAGGCCTTCATTCACGACTTTCCTCCTTTCCTGTCCCTCACCCAGGGCTCCAGCGTGCAGCGGGAGGGAAGCCTGCAGGACTCTGTTCCCTCTGTTTAAAGTCTCCAGGTTAGTAAGCCAGGAGGGAGGCCCCACCCAGCACCCAATGCTCCTTAGCCAGACACCCCTCCCCAGCCAGGAGGGACAGCACTGAGGGAGGGGACTGCCTCTGGTGGGCCCTGGCCTGTACAGGGGAGGGGGCTAGAGAGACCTGGCTCTGGGGAGGGCACCTGGCCTGGAAGAGAATGTGTCTGTGTGTGCACGCGTGTGCATGTGTGTGTGTGTGTGAGCACGTGTGCATGTACATGTGTGTGTTGTCTGCAAAGCCCCCTTGGAGTCTGGGGCTGGGGAGGGAGTGAGCAGGGGGGAGTCTGTGTTCCAGTGCTGGCCTGTGGGTGGGGAATGGGAAGAGAGGGGAGCCCTGCCCTGGACCTGTACAGCTCCGTTTAGTTTTAGGCATTTGCAAATCTGTGGTCTCATTTCATTTATTCAAGCATTTACTCATCTGTTCACTCATTCAACATTTAATCAAGAGTTCGTGAACACCTTCTCTGGGCCAGGCACTGGGTTAAGCTCAGCTTCCAGCAGCGACCAAGACAGATGCTTCCTGATGAGCAGATAGGGGTTAAGGGGCTGACAGAATCCCTCAGCTGACTGCTGGGTCCCTGCCTCCCACTGCAAGGAGCTAAGTCCACAGACTGCCCCCAATTGTCCTGTTGGTATCTCTTCTCCTTTGAACTCTATGTCCCTGTAGAGTGTTGCCCTTCTGATCATGTCCCCCAGGAGCAAGCAGGGACTGGTGACCCTGAAAAGTGGGGGGGGAACACTGTTGGGCCAACATGGGAGGAGGGAGACTGGACAGGGGATTCTGCCTCCTCCTGCACCCACAACCACCTCCCCTTCCCAAGACCAGTAGCCTGGAGCACTGGATTTGAGAGTCAGCTAATGTGGGTCCAAATCCTTACTAAAGCCATTTTTTAGCTGTGTAGCCTTAGACATAAGGAGCCCTGATGACACAGTGGGCTAACTGCAAGGATAGCAGTTCGAAACCACCAGCTGCTCCCTAGGAGAAAGATGAGGCTTTCTAGTCTAGTCGGTCAAGGGTTACCCTCTGGGAAACCGCAGGAACAGTTCTCTCAGGTCCTGTGGGGCCCCGGTGGGCTGGCGGGCGAGGACTCCACGCAGTGCGTTTGATTTGGTTTGGCGCCTTGCACAAATCACGGTGCCCCCTGAGCCCTGTAAAATGGGACAAGAACATGAAAAGCAGGGGCCTGTCCAGAGGCCGGACCCCAGCAGAGCCATGTCGTTGTGGGTGCCCTGCCTGTGCCTGCGCCCTGCCTTGGGAGCTGTTCCCCTTCAGAGAGGGGCCCAGGAGCCTCCTCCTCGCCTCCCTGCAGCCCCCCCCCCCCATGTCAGTCTCCCTGCCCCTCACTGTGCTGAGCTTCCACCCAATCCAGGCGGGCAGCCTGGGGAGGCAGCTCTCGCCGCCGCCGCCGTGATGGCTTTTTAATAACTTTGCTCCGAGACAATCTGCAGAACGCTCGTTTGTCGGCCTCTTAAATTAAAATTACCATCTTCCTGAAAGAGCAGCGATGCCCAGCGATGCCGCTACCCTCCCGCACCCACCCGCCGGCTGCTGCCGGGAGAAGGCAGGAGTCGCTTGGAGACCGGAGACCGCAGGCCTGGCCCTCCAGCCTTCCCGGGCTCTCGCGGAAGGGTGCTCTTCCCTAACCCTGCCTCTGCCCCTCAGCTACAGGGAGCTCATTGTCTTTGAGGATTTCCTTTCTACATCTGTAAAGTGGAGGCGCACCCACCCCGCCCAGCTGCCTGCCTGACCACCCAGGGTGGCCTTTAGGGAAACCGCTGCTCCAATGGGTAGTGGTTACACGTTGCGCTGCGATTCCTATGGTCCGCAGTTTGAAACCACCAGCAGCTCCGAGGGAGAAAGACCGGACTTTCTACTCCTGTAAATAGTTACAGTCTTGGGGGTGTCGCTATGAGTCTGTGGCAGTGAGAATACCCCCTCCCACCCGCTGAGCAATGCGTGGGGAGAGGCACCCTCAGAGACTGGTGGGAAGCGCCTCTCTGCCCCTCTGGGTTTGGCTCCAAGAGGCCCAGGGTGCTCGCCCTCAGGGCTGGGGGTGGGGGGCTGGCCCAGGGTGTGGGAGCTTATGTGCTAAGGTGCCCTGGTGGCTGTCCTGTCCAGGAAGTCTTGGACTGCTTACCCTGTGGTCACTGGTTTAAAAAATAGTAATCATGCAGACCTGATGACACGGTGGTGGTGTAGTGAGTTATGCGTTGGCTTACTAACCACAAGGTCAGCAGTTTGACTCCACCAGTCTCTTTGAGGGAGAAAGATGAAGCTGTCTCCTCTTGTAAAGATTTATGGCCTTGGAAACCCGGCGAGCAGTTCTAGCCTGTCCTATAGACTCCCTTTGAGTCAGAAGTGCCTCCGATGGCAGTTTTGGTGGTGGTAGTGGTGGTGACATCCAGGGCGAAGCGCCCAGCCACTAGCTAAAAGGTTGACTGTTTGAACTCCCTCTGGGCCCACCCCACACCCGTCACAAGAGGACTCCACAGCAGCAAACACCAGTGATAAAAATACAGTGAGCGGTATTACAGAGGAGTCCTGGGAGCCACAGGCTCGGTTGAGTTTTGCACAATCCACCCTCCCACCTTCCCGCGATCTCCCTGCTGTTGTCTCTGCTGGACAGGGGAAGAGACAGGCCAGCAGGGTTCAGTAATGGGTCCAAGGTCACACAGACAATTCCAGGCTCCAGCACCACAAGCCACAGCTTCTCCTGCTTGGCTCACCACCGGAAGTCCTTATCAGGTCTAGCCTTAATCCTTCACGCTGTATCTAGAATGGTACCGCTTTGCCGTTCGTTGAGCCTTCCTGCAAGCGGGGTGACTCCATGGTTTATGCCATGGAAGATCAATTCTGGGGTCCCCCCTCCTTCTCCCAATCTCCTGCCTGGTTCGACCCAGGTGAACAGAGACGAGGTGAGAGAACTCTCATTTCAGATCTTCCTGTTGCAGCACACCCCCATCTTGGGCAAAGGATTCATGGGGACAGGGGTGTGACTCAGTGACTGGGTTGTGACAGTGGGTGCTACCTGGTTGCTAGACAAGTGACAGGGTGGGGGTTAGGGGGTGCCATATAGCCCAGCTCTATCAGTGAGTTTAGCCTAGGATGCTATGCTGGAGACAGGGAGGGACTGGGGCTGGGCCCTGGAGCAAGCAGGAAAAACCTGGCCTACTTCTGCCATAGCCAGCCAGGTGCCTCACCAGCTCCTGTCAGGCTGGCCTGTCCCCTCAGAGCAGGAGGGATGCCTTTTGAAGGCACACCTCCTCTCTGAAGCCCCCTGGCCCTGTCAGCCCTTCCTTGGACCATGGACTGTCGTTATCACTGCACCTAACGGAGCCAAGGAGCCCATTTTGTTGAGCTGGGGGTGGGGTGGGGATGTGGCACTAGGCTCAGTGGGCTCAGGGGCAGGAAGTGGATGTGGAAGAGGGACAGTAGGGAACAGTGTAGACTGTGGTGAGAAGGGGAAACACACGTGCTTCTTAAGGGCACTACAGATCAGAGAAACAAAACGAAACACTGCCAGCCAAACAGAGGGCCCGGGCCCAGTGTGGCCCCCATGGGGTCCTCCCTGGCACCTTAGCTTGGCGTCCTGACATGACCTTTGTTGTTAAGCGCCATTTGATTTTTGCCTCAGAACCACCTCCTGTGACAGAGTAGGACAGGTTCCATAGGTTTCTCTTAACTATTTTCTTTCCAGAAGCACAGTGTCAGCTCTTTCTCCCATGGACCCACCTGGGAGTAGGGGGTTCCAATCACCAACCTTCAGTCAGCTGTAGTGCTTAAGCACATAGTCTGTGTGCACGAATGGATGTTGGGGGAACGTGTGGGCCCACCTGGGCCAGGTACTGTGCTGGAAACTTTTCCCACCTGGTTTCTTTCCATTTGTGCTCTGTGCTCTCCATGTTCTGGATGCTGGGGAAACTGAGGGCCACAGAAATCAAAGGACTTGTTCAAGGTCACACACGGGGGAGTGACCAAGGTGGGAGCTGAGCCTTGGTCAGTTGTGTCTTTCCACCTGCTCTGCTTGGTCATGGGTGTGTGGACGCACCACACCTGGCACGTGCATGTGAGCGCCCGCTCTGAGCCACAGGGAGCACTTTTGTGGCTAGTGGCCACCCGGTCAAGATGCATTGCACACCTTGCAGGGAAGTAGGGCTGGAGGGGGAGAGGGCTGTAGATGCAGAGGGGGGTGAGAGAGGGAGCGTGTGCCCCTCACCCCAGGGCACCCCTCCTCCCTTCGCTTCCAGTCTCATCCTGGCAGCCTGGGGATAGTGGCATGGTGACAGGTGCCAAGCCGCAGCAATGACAGCGCTGCTGATTCCTCCATAATTACTGTCTGATGAGATGCCAGAATTAGCCACCGAGTGAGCGAACCCGGGATGCAGACGCACAGGGCATGATGCAGGGAAGCAGCTGGGCGTGGGGAGCCGCTCTTTCCAGCCTCGGCCCTCTGGCAGGGTCAGCACTCGCCAGGAGGAAGTAGGTTAACAAGGAGGAAGCACGGTGTGGCTCTTATGCATCGTATTGTGTGGGCTTGTGGGTTTTCAGAGTGGCTGGGCAGGCCATCTGGGGCCTCAGGCCACAGGCCAGGGAATTACAAGCAGAGCAGACTACTCCCACAGGCTCCAGGGCACACCCTTTGTTGTTTGTTCACTGAGGCTTGGGCCTGCCTGGCTGGGAGCAGACCCTTTGGGTCACCAGCCAGGCCAGACATCAGAGGACAGATGGGAGTGCTAGGTGGGACAGACAGGAAAGGTTGGCCCCTGAGGCCCAAGGTCAGGGGCCCGAAAGGTACCTTCTGATCTCAGAGCAGTGCCACCTTTGCCCTGGGCATGTGCCATCCCTGCAGACTCGCTGGGGGCAGGAGGGCTGACAAGGACACCTTAGCAGCAGGGGTTGGGAGGTGTCACCTGGGGGGTGGGGATGGGGGTATCAGAGCTCACCAAGACCATTGTAGCAATTTTGAAGGCCATCCTCAGAG